TTCGCGTTACTCCGACAGCTGTAAGCGGAATACCAACCTCTAATTTTGTTCATTGAAATATGTAGGTCACATTCGCTGGAGCATTTCACATCGTAGTCATGGAAGACTTCGAGTTGCACGCCGTCTCTCGTGGGCCTATTTGTTAAAAATGTTGGTTGGTGTGGCCAATCATGTATTAGATCGGACCCATTTTCTTGATACCGGTATGGTGGACACATCATATTTGATTGCTGGTGAAAAGTCTTGGTTATATTTTTAGGGATAACAAAAACTCCCATACAGTGAGTGTCATTAATCAGACAACTATGTCGGTTAGTCCTCACTCATTTGCTGGAAAATTTGCCATTCCCGGTCCATACGCTGCCAAATTGCCGTAGCAACTTGCAAAAGCACTGCCATACACCTTTGTTACCGAACGCAAAACTGGATTAATGGCATATCATTTTTCTCAGCAACTATTCAGATTCTCCCCATATTGAGCTGACACTATTGAAGCTTCAATTCCTCGCATGAGCAGGTTTCAATCGGTTCTTTCGGCCTGTGTGACTGCCGAGATCTGGGAAGCACCGACAGCGTTGATTTCCCCCGCGGCCATAAACCAGTCAGTGCAGTTCAGCGAAGACCCTCTCGCTCCAGTATTTCGCTCTCTGAAACAGCGCCCTCTGCTGAAAAAAAATTATGGAAGTTAAACCGCCGGGTATCTTGTGTGACATTTTGAGGCTGTTGGTCGTATACTGCCTCAATGGTGAGACTTCCATACGAAGAGCAGCGAAGTGTACTTTATTCTTAAAGGCTTTGATTCCATATAACCCGAGTCTCCATGCTTTCTCCTCATTTCATTTGCGTTGCCTTAATATGCTTTCCCGTTTTACAGTCCAACCCGCTTTTCCCACCATTCAACCTATGAAAACCTTCGTGTAAAAACAAACAGAAAAAAATGAACTGTTATGTTTGCCGTGTTTCCGAGGGGGGAAATGAGTCGCTACATTTCCCACATGACTAGGGCTTTCCGGGCCCTGGGCCTCATAATCTCCCCATGTAAAACCGTCAGTGTTGGGGATGACACGGTGCCGTGTCACATTACTATATCGCCCTATTCCGAAACACGGGGGGGAGGGGGGATTGCGTCGATGACGATTTCCCGTGGCTGGATGTTTGCAGTCCCTTGTATAAGTAAGGTGCTCTGACCGTTTCTTCTGACTAGAGACTTCTTCTGACTATGTTACAAAGGATGATGTGGACATGAAGTTAGGGATTCCGACATACGAGAGTGATTACGACCTTCCAGATGCGGTCAGAAACCACAGTTTCTTAACCTCTAAAAGAGAAACTGAGTTTCCTTTATTTCTATCGGTCATTAATTGCAATAACAGGCCAAGACTTTGTGTCGTACACTTGGTTGTTAACTTTGCGTAATTATCGCAAATATAAATGTTTGTTGATCCTTCTCGCAAAGGTTCCCCGTTTCCATTTCGCGTATAATTTTCTATATTCAGACGTATACCTGTGTCGTGCTTGAGATATTACAGAATATTTCACTCTCACATACACTTAGAATCAAAGAAATACGAATTAAATACACAAAAATAATTCAATGCAGAAATCACCCAGGCTTTCCGACTACTCGACACATAAAACTCGAACTTTCATTTCTCGCCAGAGCCTAACCCGGCACTGCCATCCTGCATTAGAAGATTGACTCTGCACATCAAATATGAAAAAATGGGTCGCGGATTTCACATCCCGTCAGATCGGGCGATGTTTTACCTGCAATTTTCGCCACTCGACGCCGCGGTAACCTTGACGTGAGCAATCCCGGGCAAGAGAGTTAATACCTGCGGCGATTGGTATGCCTGCTAAGGCAGGGGATGGAACAAATCGACCTAGGCAGGTCAGATAGAGAGGTTTGGAGGCAGGCGGCGACTTGTGGAGGTGACTTCTCGCCTTGTTGCCATTGTCGAACACAGTGCATGCATGCGCACAGTGGGTCGTGCTCCCACGGTGCGACGTACGCACGACCAGTTTGCAACAGAATGAGCACAGACCTTTTGGAATCTTCGCGTGGGGGTTCAGATTTCCTTTATCGCATGTTGTCACCGTTCAAGGGATAAAACTGTAAAGAATTGGCCAATAAAGATGCCAGCAAACGTCACGTACGAGATTGTTGTCAACAGAGGCCTACGATTGTGATTGGTTGAAAGTGTCATCGCATAACAAAGCGTAGGCCTCTGAAAAGTCAGTAGACTCAAAGGGGTGCTATTCCTGGGCAACGTTTCTGAAGAAAACGCCGGCTGTCCCTTTCAAAAAAGTGGAGGAGAAGAGTAATTCAATCCCACCGTACCTTATCTCGGATGTAAACGGAGATGCCCCAACTGATGAGAAAGCATAAAAGCATCACAGTTTGTTACGACTCTATTCATTAATATTAAGGGACCAACAGACAATACAGAAGCTGTGAAATCTGAATCCATGCCATTTGCTGACTGATGATGTTTCACTCCCAGTGATATTTTCTCCGTATTAAGTTCTCCTGGTAGAATACTACCCAAGGACGGTATTTTTTTTAAAAACTCAGTATCTGTTGCAAAATATCTCCTTCTCTGGAAATGTAGTTGCAGCCCCTGGGCTGTTGTTGAAGTCCTTTACAAACTTGGGCATTCATTTTCTGCCCAGCTATCTTCGCCGGGGGTTATTGGCTTTTCCATTTGAGTTGAAATTACTGCTTCTGTTCCGCTCCCTCGCCAATTAATCGCCGAATAAATCCGGCCCCTTGCTGCTCAAAGCAGCATAAATGTTGCCCGATATCGTTCTCCGGATGTAACAACCGCATCCAACTTTGCGGAATCTCATTTCATGCGATATTGCCTGGCTCGAAACGGGGCCTTGTACGCCAGCAGGCGGCCCGTATTTGCCAAGTTTGTAATTGCAAACCAATCCAGTATAGGTGCAACACGATGAAGGTGCTGCCATTCCTTCGCGCCAGTGGCTCACATTTGCCTCTTGGCCTTTTATTTGTTTCGCTATCGAAAGTGTTTCCAACACCCGTAGTACCGTTACTTCGATCCTCGAAAGCAGCATGCACCCAGATACAAAGATGAACGGGAAACTGCTCAGGGATACGGGATGCTTAATGTAGAAGTCCAAATGTCCTTGTTGTGAATCGCCAGGAGAACGCCAAGTTGATACGTTGGTTGAATGTAAATGTAAGTTCCTTCCCATGTTGCTGTGAACTATGCGCATGTATATTTGAAAGAAAAAAATTAACGGTCACCACCTCATGGTCGCAACGGCTTCTCGAATGTTTGTTCAGCCGTGGCGTCTTGCGCGTTTGCTCTTCCGCTCGATTTAATTGTTGACCTTGGCATTGGTCCATCCCCAACTATACGTCATATGCATTGCCATATGTTCAAACTGGAGATGATTTTTTTCCCTTTTCAATACACCATTATTTACAGCAGCATGCTGTTTTTCCTTTTCGCAAAGTAATCTCTCTTGCCTCTGCCGTAGACCTCATTGGACAAGATCAAAATTGTTATTACAGGGATACAGGAAGTTTAATACGCCATACCCATCACGGCAGATCTACAGCTGTGTTTTTGGACATGCAGATTAAAAGTACATCATATTATACCTTTTCATAGGCTTTGGTAAAGCGTTTCAATATTGCGCTTTTGTTTTAGAAGCACTGTTTAGCTGTGGCTTAGTCAGAAGAAAGAAATTCGATGAAGGTTGAAAATGCTCAAAAGTATCACGGCAAATACTAGAATCGTTGACATTCATTTTGTAGGCCCTATGTTCCTCTCTTTGGTGTTTAACTGTTGTCAGTGCTTGACCAAAGACAAATGAAATGGCTCTTGTTTGTTGTGATACCTTTGAGCATTTTACCTCTCTGACTTGATGGATTGTCCAGCTGCATCTGTAATTTCTGAAGTCAAACTCACGGCAGTATCTATTTCAGAACTCTGCTGGCCCAAAGGCCCGGATGTTTTGGATCAAACAGTGATCAAATTTGGCAAAGGTGTTCGTGTTTACACCATGGACTGAGAACGCAGACGTTAGGTCGCATTTCATGGCCTTCGCTGGCAGTTTGTAACTTTTTGTAGTTTTGAGCAAGGGTAAAAAAACAATCTACAAGGCAGTATTGCCGCTGCCGTCATCCATAGATTCATTCATTCAACTTGTATGATAATTAAAGATATCTCCACAACGCTTGCCCGTTAGGCAGCCTCATACATTTGAATTGCATGTGGTCTGCAGTGTTATATTTCCTTTCTTTATCAACTTAAAAAAAACATATATTACTTTCTTCCTAGTTTTCGGTCTACGTGAAGTCGGTCCAAAAGCCGTTGGTGTAGGCCTATGTGACTAACATTTTTTCTGTGTGTTTATTCTGTTTATTGCAAGACAATGAACTATTTCTAAAACATGAAGAAATGAACTTCTGGTGTAGGATTCCATGATCTGTTAAGTTGTACTCCTTTTCGTGCCGGTAAAATATTTGTGTCAGATCAGATCAAGCTTGTGTTTTTTTCTTTCTTTCAAGCAGCAACTGGTGTGGAGTACCGAAGTGAATACATCACGCGCACAATCATGTGCGTAAAATATTGATATACTGGATATCAATGGTGTAAAAGACATTAACGCGAGAACCAGCCTGTGAACCAATGCACGCGTACTCTATTCGTTTGCACTACTTTTCCTGCCAGTTCAACATGACATCACACTTTGGTACTCTATGAGCCCCGAGTCGGGCCAAGAGAGGGCGCAATTTCCCTGGCAACGGTAATTTCGTGGGGAGAAACTTCACTTTGCTGGTTCATGAACGACTGTGAGAAGCACGGGTTACGGTCGCATTGCCACCAACAAAATGAACACTCCCAAGCAACATGGCTCTTTTCAGCCGATAGGGGGGGCTTCTGCTCAAGATGGAATGTGCTTTGAAGACCAAAAAACAATTTTTAAAATAAATATGTGCACTTGTTTTTTTTCTCTTTTTTCAGATTTGTGGGGATCTTTAACCCTTTGAGGCCTCGCATGGGCAAAGGAACTTTGTCTGTGATTCTCTGCAGCATCTGGTCGTTCTCCGTGCTGATAACCATCCCAACCCCGCTCTATACAGAGACCTCCTCGGGTTTTGATTGTAGGGGTGAATGGGTGGGTTTCAATTTTATTCATTTCGACCAATAAAAGATAAAGATGAAATAATTGGAAACTGGAATTAAAGATCTATTCATAGTGTCTTTGGGGATCTACTCTACATTGGAAATGGAGTTCGGATACGTCACCGTGGTGAAGTTCTGGAAACGTGTAGATGCCAACGGTTTCGCCTGGACGTTATTCTACATGGCATGTTTGTCAGTTGACAATTTGTTTGAAAGTTGGCGTTTTAATTTTTGTTAGAATAACACACACGTTAATATTTCTATCTGCCTTATGGTTAGGATGTCTGTGAACGTGTGATTGAAGCGATCCCGCATAATTTGGCATCGTTGTTTCATCCTCAGATCACATTTTGCAGCGAAATGTGGCACAATCCTACGGCAGGAAAGGTCTACGTGACGATAATCACTGTGGTGGAGTTTGTTATGCCCGCCCTCGTCATGGGCGTGGTCTACATTAAGATTGCCACCCAGTTGTGGTTTCATCGCCATCCACCGGGCCACGAGACACCCCGCCACCGGGAGATCACCCTGGTCCGCAAGCAGAAGATCATCCCCATGCTCATCACCGTGGTGGTGGCGTTCTTCCTGTGCTGGGCGCCCTACTACGCCTACAATCTCGTCTGGCACTTCCACGCCAACAACCTGTCCGACTTTTCTTTCCAGTACTCCTTCTACTTCATAGTAGAGAGCGTGGCCATGCTCAATGCCGTCATCAGCACCGTCATCTACTTCATTATGTCGCCCGTCTTCAGGGAGGAGTTCTGGTGCCTTCTGTACCGGTTCTTACCCTTCCGCGGCTTCCACGGTCGCCACGGCCGGCGGAAAGGTTTCAAGAACGGTAGTCAGCAGGCTTCGCGGACAGGCAGCGGCTTCTCCCAGACCATGCGCAATGGTCACTACCACGCCGTGCCCAGGACCACGGAGACTGCCGAGGCACACTTGTAAATTATGATGAATTTGTAAATGAGAGTTTATGCCGTATAATGCCACTTAAGCTAGAGTACAGGGGTGCTATAAAAGCACGCCCTCGGCAGGGATGAGAAACCCTCAATAGAGTTTTTAATAGTGATAAACTTGTATTTATGCAGAGAAAAACCAAGCTTTTCTCCTGACGGTTAGGGCTTGTGACTCACGAACATAGAGTCCAGGGTTCGAATCCAGCTGGAACTTACATGTTGTGACCTTGGGCAAGCAACTTTACTGTCTGGCTTACCTGTCTCCACACAGCAGTGTAAAATAATGGGGTACCTGTCAGTGCTGAGATGGTTCTTTAATTTAGCCGTTCGAGCCAGAAATCGCAGCATCAAGCTGAAGACTCCCAAGGCAGCTGAGATGGTTTGGGGAATGTTTAATTGGCCTGATGAGCAGGGATAGTAATGATGTAAAGGGGCCTTAATTGGGTTCCCGGATAAGTGAGCATTATAAGTCGATATTATTTTTACATGTATTATTGCCATTGTTTTTCGAGTTTGAATCGATATGGCATGCAGGGTTTAACGGCGTCTTTCACGAGTTTTAAATTCTATCAGGTGCAGCCGGCCGTAATCTGCAACATGGTTTAATGATAAGTATTGGCTTGTTTTCAAAAAAGGTCCATGTTGCGTTGTGCTGTATCCTGACATGGGCAGGGACTGAATGTGTTCATATGAAAATATTTTAATGAGCCTCCAACGCAAACAAAAATTGTACAAGTTGTGACACTCAAATTTTCTGTCATCCCTAAATTGAAAATCCGTCGACCACATCCCATTATCACATTTGGTAAGTCTCCATCCAAATAGGAAAAATAACGACAGACGTTACCGGTACCCCATTCCGTTGGGAATGGAACACCAAATCAGGTGGAACAAGTATAGCTCGTTTTGGGCCGATTGCTTTGGGATTCTGGTTGAAACGGGGAGGCACTCCGCTCTCTCGACATTTTCCAGTTGAAAGAACAAGATCGCATCTAGGGGGGAAGATATGAAAGTAGGTAACATAAGAAGAAGACGCGTCTTCCAGTGGTCCAGGTTTGCGGCACCATCCTCTCGCGTTTCAACTTTAATGAAAATATATCTGTGTGCGTGTTCCGTAGTGTTATGTTTCTCCGGTAATTCTGTTGAATTTTATTTGTGAATAGAGTGCGGGCTGAACGTAAGTACTATAGTACTAAGTACTGGCTAGCGTTGACTTGTAACTGTGCGAACTGTTTGGGTTACCCGGAGTAACTGCCAACGTGAAAATGTACTACTGAACTCTAATTTTGCAAAGGTTGTGCTTTATACTATGATTTTTCCCGTAACACTAGTCATCTTAGCCACAAAAGCCGGTACATGTTGTATATCCTGCTTTTCAAATGGGTGTCATCAGTGTTCATAGTGTTTGTGTAAAATGTGATGTCTTTAAAAAGTATTGTGTCCCTTTCAATTTATCTTTAACTGAAAAATTCTTCGCTGTTAAGAACTTACAGTTGTGTATGATGAAAAATGTATTTATAATCTTATGTATTATACTGTCAAACAGAAACTTTGTACAGTGAGAGGTATTTTACATCAAAGTTCTGAAGATTGTTTGAAGACTGGTTCTATTTGTAATCGAAAAATGGTATTTCTAAGAGGTCTGTTAACGAAATGAGTAGATAAGATTTTGTTGGTAACTAGGCGCAGAGACCAGTGCAGTGTATTGAAATGCCAAATCGAGAAAGAGAAAGAAAAAGATACGGCTCGCTGCCTCCGTTGAGATGTCGTTGAGGAAACCTAATATATCAAAGTTCACGACACTGACGTCATTCAAACTCTTCCTGAAAATTCGTTAACGTGTTCAAAAGACCCTTTACTTTTAATTTGTGACTAGAGAGACAAAACGAAGTAATAATAAACGCACGGAAGAATATAAAAACAGTTGTCCGATTACTTCCGAGTGAGAGAGATGATGGATTTGCCTCTTTGTGAAAAAAAAAGTCTGGTTCTGCCCTTCACGTCTGCACCCGGCTCTGTGGCAGTGTGAGAGAGTTACAGAGAAGGTAGCTGGAAATGATATGGGGGGGGGTCATGTCATAGAAATGCTTAACAGAAAATATTGCACCCCAAGTTTTTGTAGCGGTACTAAGTCACTACAGAATATTATATTGCAAGACAATATCGCTGGTTACTTTTTTCGACGCAAGGTATTTTCAAAGCTCAGCAAATTGTGGCACTGTTGCAACTGCCTGAACTTGGTACGAGACCCACAGCAGAGGAGAGGTGGTTTTGAGAGGCGCAGGTGATGAGCGATGGTGGTGTTTACAGAAACGAGCTCAACGAAGTGTCAGTGGATGGAATGAATGATTTGAACTTGTCGGGAAAAAGATGGTGAACTTGGTTGGTGACGCGCAGGGGAAAGTGAGGAGAGAAGCATTACAGCAAATGTTTATGCGAGAAGTCTAGAAGAAATATGTTCACAGAAACTGATCATAACCAATTTTTATTTGTTTCGTATGTCTGAAGACTGGTATGGCATACATCTCATTGAAGTCCAGCCCAAGGTATGCACCTCCTTGTCTGATAACCCCCCGGTGTCTTTCATTAATAGGTTCCATGATGATAATACATTTCATTTTGGGTATATGTTCTGTGAGCCCTGTTTGGTTTTGTTGTGTGTTCGTTCACCAGAAATGGAATCACATTATTTATTCACGATAACAGCTTAATTCTTGTCTGAACGAACATAAACATGCAGAGTGTACAATTTATCGACCCCTTGAGAATTAATACATAAAAGGATCACTGGTCACATTGCATTCATGCATGTTGTTTGAGTTTAAATTTCATGTACACTATATAACTTTCACGGTAAGTAGGCTCGTAAACAGGAAAGAGTGATCAGAATTGACGTGAGTAGGCGGAAATCACTTCGTTTTTGGTATCAGTTCCAAGTGTAATTTCGGATCGTGTCCTCAATCTGTGTCCGGACGATACGCAGTTCCGTAAAAGTAGAATCATGCCCCAAAATGATTGCGTTGAAATAGAAGGAGGCATTGGAAGTGGTTTATTGACAACACATGATTGATTGCCATCATTGTACTGTGTGGGCGAATAGGTGAAACTGTTGGTTAAAGATGTGAGGTGTGACCTTTTTTGTTTATACCGTAGAAACCATTATTTTCTACATATTCTATGTGTTGAAAGCCAGGAACTCGGACGATATTCAGAGGAGAATGGGCGGGTATTGAAATGTGTACATAGTCTTTCGTCTATTTGAAGCATTTGTAATTTTTTAAATGTTAATTTGCCTTTTCGGAAATACACCATGAGTGGGAACTCTACCTCGGTGCAAAGTGAGAATTCAGTTGTATCTGTTTGTATTTATTTTGTTTCGAGTTGAATGAATATATCATAGTTCATAGGTTGTTCTCAATTCGTTTTGTCACCTGTTTGTTTTGGTCATGATACTCGTTTATGCCCATCTGGAACTAAACGCAGTATGGTGACTTCCAACCATAACCCTATAGCATGTCCCCTCCATGATTGGATTTTTGTGCATTTGGTCAAAATGTCATTTATCGCCACTCGTTTGAAAACATTCGGGATGAAAAGGGATATCTTTTGTGACTGACAGTTTTAAGGTAAAAATTGATGGCCTTTGTAAATGAATCAGTGAATTTTTAAAGTAGAAAACAGAATGTAAACTTAAATTATATGTATGCACTTAAACATCGATTTCACCTTACTTGTATTTTAGCGGGTACTTTGTTGGCCTGTATATTAACTTCTCTCTGAAAAGTTGATGTTTGTAACATATTGGTTAACTCCGAGGGAAAAGCCTCGACTAAATTGGCAGAACAGTAGATTCAAGTATCCTCCAATTCGAATGTTGCACTTTCCCTAAAACCTTAATTCTTGGCTTTCTCACGAAATGGTTCAGGTGGCCAGGTTCGTCTGTTGGCAACCTAATAGCATAGTACGTATAAATGTTCTTCCTGAGAAATATCTATGAAATACGTAGTCTTTACTAATAAAGGAGAATTTTTAGATCTTTTAGATTACCTTGGACTTTGACATTGCTCGCCATGAATCAGTTGGGAATGCAGATATTTCAATTTCACGGAAGTATATGGATCAATAACAGAGTTCGTTCACTCGTGGAAAGACGCGCCGTCACCAAGTCTGGGCGCAGTCCGCATTTCCCTTGCACCATGCTTACACGAACACGCACACAGCCTAGATTCTGTTAACGTAATCGGGTGCCCCAGTGAAATATCCCGCATGATTTATGAAACGAATCGTGTGCAATTTTTGTCTCGTCACTCATTGGTCCTCTCATCTTTTCTCGCGCAGCCCCCCCTGGTTATTTTGACAGTGCTATTACACCGCCCCTTCTGTCAAAGCGCCGTCATCACAGCATGGTGTCCAATTAGGCGCGAGATCTCCGTAGACGAGATCGAGCCTTTTTAACTCCCAGGAGGGACGAGCCCGATGACCAGATGTAATTTTAAGAATGATTGCCAAGAAAGAAAGAAAGCGATTGTCCAAAATTTTAAAGAAGAGTGGTTGAGCGTTTCCCGTTGCCCATTAATTTTTGAAATGTTTGTCGCTTGTAGGAAAGAGTTTGAGCCTTAGGAACAGAACGTATTAAACGTGAATTTTACAACAGTCAGGCGATTTCTGGACCCGTTCGATTGTACCATCTACAGACACTCCTGGCTGTCTTGGGAACTCTTGGAATTGTAGCAACAACTAAGGATACCAAACAAAACGCTGATATTTTAATAAGCACCTGTAACAGTGAACCACATGTTACAAAAAGTTTCTTGTTTTTTATTGTAGATACGCATAGCCCATGAATCTAGCAAAAGAAATTGATAAAACCACAAATCGGCTATACTACCATGCTGCCACCGGGGAGCCAGAACAAAACCGTCACTGTAATCGTGTAATCGTTTTCTGTTTTCCCAAATTACTTCGAAGTGCAGATGTTTCATTATATTTGATTTAAAAAGCATTAAATTGTACCCATAGTAATCGTATGTTCATCTCATTTGGGGTATTTCGAGGAAACCTTGTGAAAGGAGGTATTACTTTGTTAAGTTTCGTTAAATTAATTAAAATTAAATTTTTATGTGTGTACAATTCAGGCAATCATTATGAAACAGAGGACAAAGTTAGACGATAGTGATTAATACTTCATGAGTTTAAGATAAACCAAAGGGTTTCGGGAGTTTTATTAGTGCTTTATGCTTGACAAGCTCCACTTGCAAATAGAAGCATCGTGTATAATATAAAATCATATGTAAGCATACCATCAAGTGCAAAAGATATTAGCACAGTGTATTTATTTTGTTGATAATTCATTGTGAAATAAAAAATGGATATTTTCCAAAATTCCGACAGATGTCTTGAATAATTCGTTTTTAACACATTGACTTTCCGTCATGACTGGAATCCACTTGATCCATTTGTTATTTGATACTTTTTCCTTGCTTTCTCGGATCAGGTAAACATTGGAATTACTACTGCCTGCAGTGGGCCTGCCAGAAAGCTCTTGGTATGTCGGCACGATGTCTAGACGACAATTCGGGACTCTTCATCACAGTGTCTTTATTATAGAATGTACGGGTATGTGAAGGGTGGAATCCGTAACCTTATCATTTCAGTATGCCCTCCTCTACTTCCATAGAGGGGTCTGAATGTTGCCCTGATCGTCCTGTTTGCTGTATCCTCGGTATTAAGTCCTCTTTTTCACGTCCCTGCCTCAGACTACAGTAATTGCCCGAAGCATGTTGCTTCAGCGTCAGAAAAGCTGAGTAATGTACATTTCAAGGCCTCGATAAGGTGTCTTGCGTTATTGTACATGTAAAACACTCTTCACGGGTAGTGATTTGACTGGAGCAAGCTACGACAAAGACCCGGACGGACATCAAATCATTTGCTGCATCTTGCTGGCCGACGAGAGCAATACTCACACATCGTAGGTAATACATGTACAGTTTACACAGGAGCACAAGAGCAACACAATTTTATGATGACACCACCGGAACGACCGCGAGGCACAAACCGCATCATTGGGGCCAAATATTCGATATCGAGTAATTTTTTTTCCCCCAAAACGAAAAATACACGGCTCCAGAGGCAAGTGTATGACAATGAGCAGCTGGTGAGACAGCTGAAGTAATCCCCGATGGTTATATGCGAATGCAATAAAAAAAAAAAACAGGGCAGTCAGTCCTGCTGAATACATATATATTTATTATAGCTGAGAAAGACAACCAGACATCGGCCGACTGCCGACCTGTTGGCCCCGGTAGGTTCACGCGAGGGGCGATCATACCGTGAACCGTGTCTCACATAGTGGGATAGTGGTTCAGTGAATTCCATTCAGTCTTACGGGAGTAGCTAGCTGCATGCAGGCCAAGCAGTAAATAACTCATTTAAAGAGTAACTCCATATGTTGCAATGGATATCGGTTTTGGTGATGTCCTCTATCCACGATGGAGGCATCAGGCCACTAAAACTGCCTGTCCTCTTTATGAAATACAAATCCCTTCGGGAAAAATATGTATCCACAAGCAGGGGCCGTCAGGGCAACGAGGCTTTGTTAAAAACTTTTCCTCCCTACGGCGTTCAAATGCTCCAAATTTAGCCTCGCGACCGATAAAACCCTCAATAAATACATGTACATGTACCTGATTATTTCCCCTCCCCCCCTAAAAAACTTTAGCAGCAAATTTGCCATCCTTGTCCGTGTGAGTGCTTTAGAGCAGTGGATCGAAAACCGCCCTCTTTTGTCAGTTTGATTCAGTCAGTTAAATTGCAATGGCAGTAGGGGGCGTTTTAGAATGTCACTGGATTGTAGAACGCAACGATAGCCAAAGACTATATGCATGTACCACAGAACCTTGTACGAAACTTTCAACAATAAACAACCTTGTGCGAAACTCTCAACAATAAATAAACTTACGGAGAATGACGATTTTACGAAGTAACAATTACCGACGCTAGGTTGTGCTTGTCGTAACATTTTCACGGATTTTTTTTTATATACGTCCGTGAATATTTTTACATAATTTACCGTACATTATGTGTGCACATTCTGGGATTCTAGAGAACAGTACCCTCGGGGTAGTATCCCAACTATCCCTTTGAATAATTGAGCAAGAGCAATCAAAGTTTTCAGCAGAGTGTAAACAGGCTGTCAATATTGTGCAAAATATTAACTTTGTGCGATTGTGCACCTGTTCTGCAGGCGCTTCTACTAGGTGTTAAGTACCAATCTCCCAATGGGGTGCTATTGCACTCAAAGTTTGTAATGCTGAATTTGTCGTATTGTACTATTCCCAATTCATTTGGTAACTACGATAGCCTGCATCTGGGGATTTCAAGAGCAATTGTAGCAAGATGAGGTCGATAACGCCGAATAGTTTTCTGGGAAGTATACCGGTACCTCTTTAACTCTTTCCATGACTTTGTTGTCAGAGAATTTGTGTGACTATGTTCGGGCAACTGTCCTCCAATATCTATAGGTCTTTGCTGTTTCGGACAGTACAAAAACTGCGTGGTGCGTCCTTATCTCTGAGAAACCACTATCCAAAATCTCGACCAAACATTCCATCTGAATGCAAAATACACCCAAAATTACCAAAAGTAAAAACAGCTTGGGGCAACAGACCAATAGGTAAATACATTAAATGGGTGAGGCAACATTAAAATGGACGAATGGTTTTATTTTTACATATCTATATTTTTTGATACATGGTTGACATCTCATTTAACATTTATTTGATTTCCTACAAGACATAGACAAGATGAATTATACATGAATATTTTTAATCAAGCATACAGTCATTTTTAGTACAATATGTTAAAACTCGTGAATCATAGAAGCACTCTCACTAACGATTTTAAATACCCACCTTACGCGCTCTTCATTCGAATACGGTGGACATTAACTTGTATCTTAAGGAAAAAACATGTTAATTAAAAGTAGGCCTACGTTCAGAAATTAACCGCACTCGTAAAAGAAGTGAAAAGACCAACCACTTTCACTTTGGAATACAATGTACATAAATTGTTTTAACGTATCTGAATGTCTTTCAATCTGCACACAGCTGTGGCTCATGACTATTATGTATTCAGTTTTGAGAAGTACCCACATCACTTGCTTAACTACTCTACTGGCCCCCCAAACCACGCTAGTTTATCGCCAGTGGGTTACAGCCAACCATAATAGTCATAATGAATAACCACGAAGTGTTGTTAACTTTACTTTAGTGATATTACATGGAGGCAAAATGGATTAAGCCAGCGAAACTCTTACACAAGTACCTTCCAAACCAAAATGAACTGTTTGGCAAGTACATGTAGTTCATGTATTTATGAAAGGTTACAGGTTGTCTGTGGTTTGAGAGTTCCTAGCTCTTTACTTCATTCAGCACTTAACGCAACTTGCATTCACTAAAAAGTGGCGGTATCTTTAATCTCATAACATGAATATTTTTTAACATTTGAAAGTTCTTGTTCTATTTTGAGACGGTATAGCTTTTGTCTTTTTGTCTCGATCGAGCGTTTGTTAATTTATAGAAAAATCTCTCAGTCTTTGGTTTCATTATCACTTATTCGCCGGATCCCGCAAGTGTCTGGATTGTCTTTCACTTCAGTCTTCACGAACACAGCCACTCATCATATACCCTCCAGGTACTTACATCATGTCGCAGTCTCCCTCACTTCGACAGTCTGTCGAACTTTATTAAATCTCTTTCTACAAAAAAAAGTCTTATCAGATTTTCTTTTCTTCCGTCCTCGCCTTACAGGCAGCCTGCGAACGTCACACCAACATAAACAAACAAACAAACACGCGTTTGTTTCACAAAACGTAGTGCGGACATTCCTTTGTTCTCTAAAAATGTTCCTTTTTGGAGGTCCACACTATGTACGCTATTTGCACACAGTGCGATCACGCACTGAATCCAAACACCACCCGAACAATATATGTCCTTCGGGGAGCTGACATCAAGTAGAGGATCCGTTCTGGTTAAATTGGTTTCTTTCCTCTCTTTCACAACTTTCAAATCCCTTGCTTGATCGGTTCCCTCTCATCGGTAGATCAGACGGTAATGGGAGCCATGGTGGCCAGAAGGGGCCTGTTTTGAAAATAAACTCGGGGGAACAATGACACTTCCCTTCCTTCCTTAAAACTGAGCTTCACCTCCAGTTGTTCAGAACAGCTATGAACAACTGCATGTAAAGAAATTCCCAATTCTGGAACCCCTCCCCCCAAAAAAGCATCGTTTGAGGGTGCGAAAGTTTGTTTCATAAGAGTTTTTCCGTATCGTTTTCCCTATCGACCACTTTCAGAACAGAGAGTTTTCTTCATTTGCCTCTTCCTCATACAAAGCTGGATTTCTCTTCGATTTCGATGGTAACCTCGCACTCCTTACTGAATTGAAGGCCCCTCATGTGCTTTTCTCACATCATGTCAAACATTCACATCTGAAGTTAGCATTTTCACAAACCACAGAACTGATAACAACTCCCAGATAAACAGACCGCTCATTTCCTGGAGCAGGGACAGAGCCAACTCGTATGCTCAGCGATAGCATTTCCTAATGCTACATGTATATACATGTAGAAATAATCTTCTCTCTCACAGTCATCCATCCATTGAACCGCAGCGATAAACTCGTTGATTATACGCCTAGCGAAGCGCACTGTTTTTAATTAATGCAACAAAGTAACATCTGACTGTGTAATCAAAAGATTGATCATCTTGTTTGATACAATTACAGGTTACAGCAATTTTAGCACATTGTACTAATTGGATATAATTTCCTATACATTTGAAATATGGAACTAAATTTGATACAAGGACGTATTATTCTAGTCATCCATTTCACACATTCTCTCCTCCCTCTTTTTGTCCCCTACAACATTTCAAAGGGATGTTGTTGAGTAAATTGTTACGCATTTCGTAGTCAAGGTATCTGACCCTGATAGGATGAGTGTACCGATTGAACTGAAGGCACAATGACTGTGATGGGAATCTAATCCATGTAGTGCTGCTTGTGTAATTCTGTTCAGGACTACAGAAAAAGTTTAGAATACATTACTTTAGTCACCCTGACCTCATCGCTATCTGACTCGCGATCTCCTCCAGTCCGATTCTTTTTTCATCCATGCACAAAGCAAGGTGTAAAATTCTGACGTTGGTCGGAGACCCTCCTCGAAGGGTAAAGCCGTAACGAGGTTGCTCTCTGACGTCACTCGTCAAGTGTTAGCGGTCACTGATGAGTGTATTGCCCTGTGGAGGTGATATCCGGCAAACATCAGAAACTGGCAATACTTTGGAGTTGCTTCACCAAGCAAACATTCTTAATCTTGTGAGCTTTTTTTCCATGCCCATTTCACCCATCGTCCCTCAGATCTTTGTTTCGAGTGTATTATCGGGCCCACCTAAACCAACAGGTTTCCGGATTGCGGAGCCGTTTCGGGTGGTGTTGAAGGTGTGACTAGCCGCAGAGTGGAACGACACGCGGCGGATCCCTAAAAAAACTGGTGGGCAGCGGCACAGGATCCGGCCAGCCAGGTTTCGGATCTCCTTCCGGAACATGGGGCTCATGATGAAGTAGATGAAGGTGCTGATGACGGCATTGAGCATGGCCACACTCTCGGTGATGTAATACAAACTGTAGAAGTGGGGCACAGTCTGGTGCCACTCCTCTTGGTAGTAGGTCAACGCTAGATTGTAGCCGTGGTAAGGGGCGAAACAGACAAAGAATGCCACCACCACAGTGATGAGCATGGGGATAGTCTTCTGTTTACGGACCAGCATAATCTCCCGGTGGCGGGGTGTCACCTGCCCCGGGGGCGTTCGGTGCGTCCACAGCTTGATGGCGATGCTGATGTAAATGAATCCCATGCTGTAGATAGGCAACAAAAACTCAGCTACCGTGATGAAGATCACGTAGCCGTTGGCTGCGCTGGGGTTAACCCAGTTCTCAAAGCACATCTGGACGGTTCGTCCCCTGCAGTCGGTTGTTGGGGACGATGTTGTTAAGAAGAGAAAGGTTGGTAATGCAACGAGGAACGACACGATCCAAATGGCCAGAACAATAAGCACCAGTCGCCCTTTCTCCATGCGTGGACGTAGAGGACGAAAGATACCATAGTACCTAATACAGAAAAATAAGAAAAATGCATAACGTGTAATATCTCTGAACATCTCGTTTCTTCACACTATAGTTAGGTAACAGCGCCCCCAGTCGTTTTAAAAGGGGGGTCATAGATTAGACTTTGACACAACACTGTTGGCGAATGGCTCCCGAAGATGTTAATGTTTTTGAAATGCATAATGCAGTTTAGTTGACTATCGTTTTGTGCTTATTTATTTGTTAATAGTTTTTGAGTCTCTCGTTATGTTCTCCAAGTTTCAGTAACTTGTGATTTCCCGTTTTCCAAAAAATGAATAAATGTAGTCTTTCCTAATCGGTTTGCTACTTTTTCTTCTACAATAACCGCTCCGTTGAGGCCGTGAGTTTCGATTACAGACTTGCTTCGGGTGATATCTGTCTTACGAACAGCTGAAATCAAGCCTGTGGATCCAGACATGCAATTCAAACACTGACTTCGAAACATTGGCACCGCTTTGAACAGTAACTGGCCAAACCGAATGTGTCTCATTTTTGTTGGGTCGCTAAGACTAGTAAGTGACGCACAAAGTTTTGATATGACCGGTAACAGTCTTTCTTGAGGCAACTTCGAGTCCTTTCCGTTACTGCAGGTGTATTATTTTGTGCCTGGACGCGAATCTTATTAACCATACAGAGCAGCATGCACGTCAGTATAGATCCCCGTGTCAATTAATAATGAAATCATCCCTTGCTGAGAACTGCAAAGAAACCAATTTTTGACTGAAACTCGCAATGCATTGTAAACTGAAGTGCACGTACGTACGTCCTCTGTTAAATTCAAGCACTGACGTAAATTACGAAGATAAAGTAAAATGCCCAGTTTAGTTGTGATTTAAATTCCCTCTTTAAAAAAGATGATAACAGTGTAATTTTTTAAAAGTTCTTAGAATGCATTCGCTTCATATGTACTCCAATATGACTTCATACCGTGTATAATCACTCTCAATACGCTCAAGAGATGTATCATTTCAACAAAGCCGTGAAGTTGAAGTTTAGCCACTTAATTCGAATAGGGGTCTTCTTGCATCAGGCACGTTGATGCGCATTCGAACGACAAATCAGCTGTCGGGGTTTGAGCGGCTAATCTGATCAAGACTGTCGGAGAGAACATTAGAAAAGCATTGTAGAAAAGCTCCATCTGAAACATACCAACATGGGTATCACGTCACATTATATTAAGTTGGAGGGAATAGCTAATTTCCCTTTAGGTCACCGTCAGCTTCCCACGATCGCGCGACTAAGTGAACATAAGGTCCCAAAATAAGCTCAGATAGTTACTGCAGCTAGTCTTTCTTGGCGTCTCAGAATTGCTTGTCTGGGTAAAAGCCGAGCTGCGGTACGCAAAGTGTAATGAGTGTAATGAGTGTAATGACTGCATTTAAAAAATCAAGATATCCAGCGCCAAACAATCTCGTATTTTAACACCAGCTACACGTACATAATAACCAGGAGGCAGATTGCAATCTATGGAATTCACAATGATTCTCTGGACTCGCTAGGACCCCCGTGCACATTTTTTCTCAGGCTGAAAAGTCCCTGATTCAGCATGAGACCGTTTAACATTGACTGTAGAAAAACATGTGATATTTCGCTGATTACCTCAACAAAAAAAAATCTTCAGAGGAATTCTTAAGCACGGGTCAATTCTGAACCTTTCTCAAAAGGTGCAATTAGTAAACAGAATTTCTCCGCTCAGTCTTATCAAAGAAACAGTAATTACGCTCTGTTGTATTTGAAGCTCACTCACACGTTGACAGATTACCCAGTGCCGTACGCCAGAGTTCTGGCGCTACTTCTCTTAGGGTTGCAGAGTAGTAAAAAAAAAGTTGTCATACACTACAGTGATAAATACCCACATAAAATCAGGAAAAATACAAGTTATTCAGGTGTTCAAGACACTTTTCAAATTAAAACTCACTTATTTATTTGTACTGACCAGCAACATTACAGAGTGTTGGGATCTGCCAACTTCTTCTGGATTCGTGACGTAATTAATTATATATAATAATTATATAATATCGTAAATATTGCGATTTTCTGAAACACTTTTATTTCTCGCATCGTCAGCGTAAAAACATCTATGTTTTTTGGCTTTTCTTGTGTCTCACACTCTGAGACTGAGCGGAGAAAGCTATGAGAAACGTCCGTTACTGGTAGTGCCTACATCTGATCGTTTGTGTATTCAAATATGAACCCCAAATATACGTACATAATATTGGTAAGGGAAAGACAAGGTTGGTACTGGGTCTATAGCCACCAGCATCCTCTGCAGTATTTTGGTCGACGCCCACGCTAAAATGGTCATAACTAAAGGGGGCCTCGAACGTCTGGCACGATTAAGCGCACATTTTGCTACGGGTAACGTTACAGTTCTGTTACATTTATTTTTGTTATGGACTTAGCAAATATCCGAAAGAAATCATGTAATCCCAATCCTACGTGTGACCTTCATGGAAAACTCAAACCATTCTTTAGATACGAACGAATTTCGTCAAGTCGTAACTTTACATTCCCTAACGAGTTTCAAAGATCATTTTGTTACCAATATCCTCGGTGAGGTTGTTTTACAGGTAACATTACTCGTTTGGTACAACGTACCCTAGAAATTGTAATTTTAGTCAAGCAATCGCCACTCAATTACGGTCGAGATGTCAACGCTTTTCCCGTTGCTGTGACTCAAGCAGATTTAGCCCTAAAGCCTCGAGCCAGAACAACGGCCTACAAACTGTTTCGCCATCAATCCACCAGCGCCGATGTTCGTCCTCAACCCCAGGCTACGATTCATCGCTTATTATGTCCTCCAGGGGAGGAGGGGGTGGTTATGTATATCACTCAATACACAAAATTTGACACTTTGCAATTACAGGCCAATATGATAACAATATCGACGATACAAGGTGTTTTGAAATCAGCTTTGCCAGTACAATTTAATACATTGGGGTGAGGTTATTTTGGACGGTATACGGTTGTTGGACCCGAGCCGTCACATCTTATCGAATTAGCTTACATCACTTTACTATAACCGTGCCTTGTTTCTGAATTATGTGTTACTTATAGTTTGAGTCCTAATGTTGTTTTTTTCCACTAGTCAAATATGTAACAAATGAGCCGCATTGTTAATACCATTTTGAAAACTATTTGAAGAGAGTAGGAAGGTACTGTTGATTTTGAGATACGACAGTTTAAAAACGATGGCTACGGGGAACAACAAGATCGGGGATTTTACACTGAACAAACCATCAATAATCAGCAATGATTGGTTCACGAGAGAAAAAATGGGTTGTGTGTAGAGTGAAGCGAGTCCATTTAAAGTATCCTTGGACAGTGTTTACGCCGCGGCTGGAACAGTATTAGCTTGGACCTTTGTGGATTTGGAGTAAATCCCTCCAGAATTGCTAAGCTGCATCACTTTGATCCATCGGAGGATACGCGTTCCAATTCCGACCGGAAACGTCAGGCGATCATTTACGAAAAGGGGTAATGTTACCTTGCCAGCAGCCACAGTGTCGTCCGTGGCTGCCTTTAAATAGCGCAAATCTTGAGGTACTATGAAACTGATTCAGAGGGGAGCGTGTTAAATTAACTGAGACCTTGTTTATCGAGGGACAGTTGTTAATGCCTACAAAAATATTTTGGGGCTTTTGGGGGGAAGGATAGTAAAAAAAATGGATGTAGCTTCAGTTTTCTCGAGCATTCTGAAAATTGATGGGCAGCAATGCGATCAGGAATGGGATTGTGATATTGGATATTGAAAGGGAACACCGCCATTGCTTGTTAGCTTTATTGAGACATAATATGCGCAAGTGTGTTTTAACCGGCTTCAAATAGGCCTACGTAAGTTGTGAAGAAACTTGTGCACACAATGCGCACCGTTTACTCTGATCTGGAGATTCTACGCAAAACAGGCAAAGCTAGATTGCCATTAATGCATTCCACCTTTTTTACATTAAGAGGAGCATGTATTGTGGTATGTTTTTCCGCTTTTCATTAATCAGGTAAATTATTTCATATTGAGCATTTTGCATAGTGTTTCTCGGCCTACAGGAAATGTGCACGTTTTTAAAGGCACAGCGTTTGGTGGCGCAAGACACTGTCCTGTACGAAGAGGTGTCGTTTTGCTCTTTCAGTGCTTACAGAATTTCGAAACAACCGACTTGTCTATCGGCTTTGAGCCTTCAAAAGTCTCAGTTTGTGTCTGTTTTCTCTGTAGTTCCAAGAGTTCCTTCAGAACTTGTAATATCCATCTTTACACCGTATTTCATTCTGCTCATGTCGGCACAGGCCTCTGCGGACATGAAGCGGCTAGAGGATAAGGTTTGAAGCGTCTTTAAGCGAAATCTCAGTGCGCTCCAAACTTTCGATACTCCAACTAAACAGGGAAGCAGTGCCAACCGTTTTGTTTACAACACATCATTAGGCTGACACCACATTCACTGCATCCCGACCACCTAAATCAACGCTGCAATCCACCGTTTCGCGCTCATCTCCTCCAGGGTCATCCTTGCGACGCTCCTCTGAATTGTCCTCGGTGGCTCGACCCCAATCCCCCTGCCCCCTCTTTCTCTCTGCCCAGGTTCGGATGCAAGGGGTTGGGTTATTTGGATAGCAGCGAGGTTGATTGATGCATGGCTTGTACACCATAGGAGCGGCTGGGCTAGACAGACTTACGCCATACCAGGTGAACGTTGCTTTCTTCAACTGTCACGGTTCCGACGAAAAGCCGGGGACGGAAGAGCGATCGCTTGCTTTTAAACAATGCGTTAACGTCAACGAGCCTTTACTCAACACTAATTGGATTACAGCATCGTGGATGGTCTGGACGACTTTTATTTATTAAAGGAACTAGCTTTAGCCTGGTCCTGTCTTTGCCTTTGGAAGGGGCGTCAGTGGCGAGCTCCTGGTATCCTGAGAAAATCGCACAAGGAAACGTCGATGAGACCTTGAGACTCAGCTATGTTGCGTTGCTGTCGTTGTTTCGCCTG